TATCAGCCTTCTGCTTGGCTTGTTGCGCATACTTCTGCTGGGCACTGTGTGGGAACTTGAGGATGAAGTCAGTGAGCTGCATGCATTTGAAAGGCACGGCCTGGCCGGGCTCGGTGACTCAGCCTGTAATCCCGCGCCTTTGGGAGGCTGATGTAAGTGGATTGCCTGAGCCCACGGCTTCGAGACCCACCTGGGCAGCGAGACCTCATCTCTACAATAAATCAAAAAATCAGCCGGGCGTGGTAGCGCACGCCTGTAGTTCCAGCTACTTGGAAGGCTGAGGCAGAAGGATCGCCAGAGCCCAGCAGGTCGAGGCTGCAATGGCCGGGAGCGGTCACTGCACTCCAGTCTGGGCAACAGAGTGAGACTCCAGAAAAAAAAATAAAAATAAAAATAAAAAAAGAAAGGCACGGCCTGTCTCCTCACGGAGTGCAAGGTCCATCAACCAAAGCCCTGTTCTGACCAATAACATCTACAATCGTGACCACCTTTCTGGTCTGAGCTCCAAAGGAGACATAGGCCACTCAGCCAACCTCCATGAAGCGCCTGAACACCATGTTGGCGGAGTTCGGTGAGAAGGATGAAGGCCCGCCCAGCCCCGCACATGTAGAAGGCTGCCGGTTTTTTTTTTTTTAGTTGGAGTCTCTCTCTGTCACCCAGACTGGAGTGCAGCGGCCGCTTCCGGCCACCGCAGCCCCCACCTGCTGGGCTCCGGCGATCCTTCCACCTCAGCCTTCCAAGTATCTGGAACCACAGGCATGTGCCACCATACCCAGCTAATTTTTTTTTTTATTTGTTGTAGAGATGAGGTCCGCCAAGTTGCCCAGGCTGGTCTCAAACTCATGGGCTCAGGCAATCCTCTCATCCTGTCCTCCCAAAGTGCTGGGATTATAGGCGTGAACCACCACGGCTGGCAATTCAGTTTCTTCAAGGAGAAATTCTCCAGTCTCCTGGTCCTGGAGAGTTTATTCCTGGCCATTAATTCTAATTCTGGGAGCTGATTGGGGGAAAGGGGTTGGTTTGATATGTAAGTTCCTCTTAATCCTCCTGTATTCAGGACAGTACCTTATCCTCATCTTCTGCTGTGCCTGGGATTCTTTTTTTTTTTTTTTTTGAGTTGGAGTCTCACTCTGTTGCCCAGACTGTAGTGCAGTGGCCGCTCCTGGCCACCGCAGCCTTGACCTGCTGGGCTCTGGCGATCCTTCCGCCTCAGCCTTCCAAGTAGCCGGAATTACAGGCACGCCCGGCTGAGTTTTTAAATTTATTGTAGAGATGATGAGGTCTCGCCAAGTTGCCCAGGCGGGTCTTGAACCCGTGGGCTCAGGCAATCCACTCACCTCAGCCTCCAAAGTGCGGGATTACAGGCTGAGCCACTGAGCCTGGCTACGGCTGGGATTCTTAAGTCTTGGTCTTTCTGCTTCACTTTCTCCAGAAAAGAAACCTGCTTCTTTAGAAGTCGGGAGACAGAAGCCCAGCTGCCTGGCTGACTGGGCAGGGGGAGGAGAATGAGGGTCTAATTGCTCCCTACACGGATCATCTTATCCCCATTTTTTCCACCTGTCTCCTTTCCACGTCCCCTTCCTTCCAGGATAGCTAGTGCTTTCATTCCTGAGCCTGCTTCCCACTGGCAGGGCAGACACTGGTTTTGGCTTTCTATCACCTGTCATTTGCCAAACGGCTACCACTTCTCACCTGTTTCCTACCTTCTGAGATTGTTGAGGGCTCTCACCTTTCTCTTTTTTTTGAGTTGGAGTCTCATTCTGTCGCCCAGGCTGGAGTGCAGTGGCACACTCATGGCTACCACAGCCTCAACCTGCTGGACTCAGGTGATCCTTCCGCCTCAGCCTTCCAAATAGCTGGAACCATGGGTGTATGCCACCACGCCTGGCTAACTTTTCTTTTCTTTTCTTCTTTTTTAGTTGGAGTCTCACTCTATTGCCCAGGCTGGAGTGCAGTGGCATGCTCACAGCCACTGCAGCCTCGACCTGATGGGCTCAGGTGTTCCTTCTGCGCCAGTCTTACAAATAGCTGAAACTACAGGCAGGTGCCATCACGCCCAGCTAATTTTTTGATTTATTGTAGATACTAGGTCTTGCCATGTTGTTCAGCTGGTCTCGAACCCTTGGGCCCAGGCATTCCTCTCACCTCTGCCTCCCAAAATGCTGGGATTACAAGGCGTAAGCCACTATGCCCAGCTAAGAGCTACCCACTTTGAGGCAGGTCGCTCCCTTTCCAGATTTTCTTGCTCTCTTGCCCTGTCCTTGGTGTGTCCCCAGTCCTTAGTGTTTGTCTCTCTCCTCCCACCTTGCTCTCTGGATACTCTCTTCCTGGGGAGCCCATTCCAAGGCTCCAGCCATACCTTCACTCTCAAATCTTCCTATTCTGGGGTCTCCTCAGAGCCCTGGCCCTGTCCCCTCCCGCAGGAGTACCTGTGGTCCTAGGGGGCCTCCACTTGGATGAGTATTTCAGAGAAATAACCACTTCATTTTCTACCCAGCTTCCCCTTTCTGCATCCCTGTTTTCTTTTCTTTTCTTTTCTTTTGAGTTGGAGTCTCACTCCATCGTAGACGCTAGAGTGCAGTGGCACGCTCATGGCCACCCCAGCGTTGACCTGCTGGGATCCAGTGATTCTTCTGCCTCAGCCTTCCAAGTAGCCAAAACTACAGGCGCATGCTACCATGCCCGACACATTTTTTTTTTTTAATTGTAGAGACAAGGTCTCGCCAAGTTCCCTGGTTGGTCTCAAACCCGTGGGTTCAGGCAATCCACTCACCTCAGCTTCCCAAAATGCTGGGATTACAGACTGAGCCACCAAGCCTGGCCCGCATCCCTGCTTCTTTTGGAGTATCATTATTTTTCCAACTGCCCAGGCTTGAAATCCCCAGGTCGTCCCTGAGTCTGCCTTCTCCTGCAATGTAGATCCCATAAGTGTTAACTCCAGTGTAATTCAGGGAATGACCAAGCCTACAGATTCTTCTCTCTTTCCTTTCCTATCCCCCTCACCCTTATTCTAGTGTGAATCACTTGTTACTTGATTTTCGGCAAGAGCCTGTTAATTCTTCTGCATCCTGCTGCTATAAACTGGTCTTCTGAGAACATCAATTTCACCGCATTCCTTCTTGCCACAGACCCTTCCAGTGACTTCCCATTTTCTGCAGGATAAAATTTAGATTCCTTGGCCTGGCTGGCACTCAAGACTCCCCATAACCTCACGCAGCTCTCCCCACCCTGACTTTGCTTCCATGCTCTAGCCTCCAGCTCTGGGCCCTTCACTGACCTTGGACCCGGCTCCGCTCATCCCCGTTGTAGGTTCATGGCTTTCCTTCTCCAACCCCTGAACGCCCCCTTCTTTCCTTTCACCTGTCCCCTTTCTCCTGTCTGCTCTGGGGGATCAGCTCCAGTTCCACTGCAGGTCTTTCTTAGCCTCCATCCATCTTTTCCTTTCCTGAACTCTGATGACACCCAGGGTTGGCATCCAGCCATGCCCAGGTCTGTGTCCTCCCAGTGGGGCAGGGGAACTTTCTCAGTCCCCAACACCGTGTCGGGAACATGCTTGGTTCTCACTTCAGACTAGGACTCCCAGCCTGGAAGGCACAGGGTGGAGCTTGTTTAACAGAATGCCTCCTCAATATAAACTCTCCTGTCTCCTTTAGGAGAGGGCTTTAGAAATCGGGACTGTAGTCTTGGCGTGGTAGCTCACGCCTATAATCCCCAGCACTTTGGGAGGCAGAGGCAAGAGGATTACCTGAGCCTAGGGGTTCGAGACCAGCCTGGGCAACTTGGTGAGACCTTGTCTCTACAATAAATCAAAAAATTATGGCCGAGCTCAGTGGCTCAGCCTGTAATACCAGCACTTTGGCAGGCCAAGGCAAGTGGATTGCCTGAGTCTGCGGGTTTAAGACCCATTCGGGCAATTTGGTATGACCTCGTCTCTACAATAAATACAAAATTAGCCGGGCGCAGTAGCGTGTGCCTGTAGATTCGTCTACTTGGAAGGCTGAGGCAGGAGGATCTCCTGACCCCAGCAGGTCGAGGCTGTGGTGGCTGGGAGCGTGCCACTGCACTCCAGTCTGGGCGACAGAGTGAGACTCCAACTCAAAAAAAAAAAAAATAGCCGGGCATAGTGACACGTGCCTGTAGTCCCAGCTACTTAGGAGGCTAAGGTGAAAGGATCACCTGAGCCCTGCAGGTTGAGACTGTGGTGGCTGTGAGTGTGCCACTGCATTCTAGCCTGGGTAACAGAGTAAGACTCTGGAAAAAAAAAAAGAAATCAGGACAGTTCTGAATAGACTCTGGAGGCTGGAATGCAAAATAGGTTGGCTGAGAGGCCTGCCTTAACCATTTCACTTCCTTAATCCCCAGGCTCCCTCCCCTCTCAGTCTCCAGGGTCACCTGCAGCAGTGTCCTGGACCCTTGTCTCCCCTCCAGACACCCCCATGCTGGGCTCTCAGATTCACAGCGCGTGTCCCCTCTGGCCCCCTGCCTTCTCAACCCTGAGGTAGCGTGCCATATGTTCTTGCTTTTCATTTCATTTTCCCTCTCCTTCTGTCAGTTAATGATTATTCAGGGACCTTAACTCAACCTGTTGTCCTTATCCCAAATCCATCAAAGTTCTCTTCAGGATAAGGGTCATGACAGTTATGCCATGGCCATGTGACTGCTCTTTTCACCCTGCATTCCCTGCCATCTTGGTCCCACAGTTCTGAGGAGCTGCTTGTGCACCTTGCTCCAGCCTCCTGAGCAGAGGGAAGCGTCTTGTCTTTGCCCCAGGTGGGCAATGGCCACCAGGACCCACCTGCTCAGCACGGACTGTTTTCCACCTCCCACCTGTTCCCTCTGGCTTTATCCCTGACACTCACACTTGCCATATGTGCACTGGGAAGACTGGGACTGAGCTGCAGGCCTTGGGTCTCGGCTGTTATGGGGTATAGGGTGGAGGCTCTTTCTAGGTGGGTCTCTGTGGGGTGCACAGGCCCAGGAGGGAATGACTGCAGTTCTGCTCACAGATTTTATCCTGATGGCTGACTCAAAACCATTCCCGGCCCTTGATGGGGACCCTGAGACTGCGGAAACCTTACTCCGGGCTGTGTTTGGGATTGTCATGGATGAGGCCGTTCGCAAAGGGACCAGTGCCTCTGAGAAGGTGAGTTCTTTCTCCCTTCTCCAGCCCATCAGGTCTTCCCTTTCTCTTTCCAATCCTGGTCTGTAACTTTCTTCCCTTCATAAGGCTTCCCCCAGAATGCACCACTCTCCCCTCTGGGCCCCAGGGGTTTAAATACAGGGTCTTACTGTGTTTATTTACTTTTGCTCGCCTTCATATTTTTGCTCTGATACTATCCCTAAATATTTGCTTTAAGTGCTTGTGTCTGTGGAGATGTGGTTTGGGTGGCTGGTCCACCAGGGTCCAAGGCCCCCAGCATCTCGGCTTCTCCTAGGTCTGTGAGTGGAAGGAGCCGGAGGAGCTGAAACAGCTGCTGGATTTAGAGCTGCGGGACCAGGGGGAGTCGCAGGAGCAGATCCTGGAGCGGTGCCGGGCTGTGATTCGCTACAGTGTCAAGACCGGTGGGCTCCAACTCGGGGAGGGGTCTCCAGAGTGTGCGCCCAGCCCCACTCTGAGCGCCCTCCCCACCGCCCTCCTCCAGGTCATCCTCGGTTCTTCAACCAGCTCTTCTCCGGGTTGGACGCCCATGCCCTGGCCGGGCGCGTCATCACCGAGAGCCTCAACACCAGCCAGTGAGCCATCCCCAGGTCCCTCCACCATGCCACCAGCGCTTTGGGCTTGCTGGAGAGGTGCCTTAGAGGCAGGGAGAGGGTGGTTGTGGCCCCCTCTGCCGTTCTCTGGGCATCCCTGCTGGCCGCCTCCCCTCGTGTCCTTTGAGCCCCTGTTCTCCAAGCATTCTCCTGCCTCCTGACCCCCTGTTTGTCTCCTTCTTGCTTCCCTGGTGCTCTGCTACCTCCTCGTTCTTCTCTTTGGACCCTCCCCCGACTTGTGCTCACCACCTCCTTTCTCTGACGCCTCTGTTGTTGAAGGGCTGCCCTGGCTGTCCCTCCCCATCTCTTTCCTTTCCTCATTGTCCCTCTTCTGGCAGGTACACATATGAGATCGCCCCCGTGTTTGTGCTCATGGAGGAGGAGGTGCTGAAGACACTCCGGGCCCTGGTGGGCTGGCGCTCTGGGGATGGGGTCTTCTGCCCTGGTATGTGAAGAGGAAGGGGACCTTTCTTCGGCCTTTTTCAGGGTTCCTCCTGTCCCATCGTTCTCTTAATCTAAGCAGCTGGCAGGGAGGGGTGATGCCTTTTTGTTTCCTCTCCAGCTGGCCTGGGCTGGGCCAGGGAGGAGGCTGCCCAGTCCTTTCGACCTGGTACTTGCCAGCCATCCCTGGGTGCTGCTTCAGGGAGCTGTGCTCTGGTGCCTGCTCTCTCTGGGTGTGGAGGGGGTAGTTGAGAGGATCCACTAGTCCTGGAGCTGTCCTGGGACCTTGTGCCATTTGTAGAGCCCTGGGAATTCCTGGCCTGGGCGGAGTCACGCTTGATTCTTGGGTTACTTCTTCTGGTGGAAGGGTCAGGGGAGGCAAGCCCCAGTCTCCTGCCACCGTCCCTCCCCATGACAGGTGGCTCCATCTCCAACATGTATGCCATAAACCTGGCCCGCTATCAGCGCTACCCGGATTGCAAGCAGAGGGGCCTCTGGGCACTGCCGCCCCTGGCCCTCTTCACATCACAGGAGGTGGGGAAGAGGCACAGGCCCACCCCTCTTGTTGCTAGGCAGCTAAGCCAGAGGCCCTTTGGGTCCTCTCCCCGCCCTCCCCACATCCTCCGAGGCCAGCCCCAGGCGGATGTGCTGTGCTTCCTTCCAATCAAGGAGGCCGAGAAGCACTCCTGTTCATGGATGGGTTGGGGGGGTCACGAGTGCAGTGGAAGCAGTTCATGCTCCTTCTACTCAGACTGTGCTCTGTGCACCTGCAGCATGGCTATGGCCTGGGGCTTGTTAGAAATGCAGAATCTCGGGCCCCACCCCAGACAGACTGAGCTGAATCTGCATTTCAACCAGACCCCCAGGTGATTCATTTGTGAAGGTTGGAGAAGCCCTGGGCTGCAGGACCGGTCTACCACATCTCATCCTTGACTTTTACCAGCGTGTCTCCTCCCCGTCCTCTCTGCCTTTTGGCCCCAAGCGCAAGTCATGCTAATCACCCCTGCTTCCTCCGCAGTGTCACTACTCCATCAAAAAGGGAGCTGCTTTCCTGGGACTTGGCACCGACAGTGTCCGAGTGGTCAAGGCTGACGAGAGGTGAAGGTCCTGCCCACATGGCTCTGACCCAACTTGGCACAGTGGCTTTTCCTGCTGCCAGAAAGCTCTGGCCTCAGGCCAGACCCCCAGTGAACTTCTCTCCCCTTGCTGTTCCTGCAGAATTGTTGCTCCGGCTACCAGTGCTTGCCAGAATTCCCGCCCTGTGCCCTGAGATCTGTTTCATGCCTCTTAGGGCACGGCCAGCCTGTGGCCTCTCATTGCTAACCCCACCTTACCCAAATTCCAACAGGGCGCTTCCAACCCTGTCACCTCTCTACCTCTCGATTTTCTTTTTCAGAGGGAAAATGGTCCCCAAGGATCTGGAGAGGCAGATCAAGATGGCCGAGGCCGAGGTGAGTGAATGAGGGACCCTGGGGTGCTGGGGTTGGAAGCTTGTTTGGGCTCTCCCTGCTCAAGGCACCCTTCGGCCCTCTCCAGACCTCCATGCCTGTCTCCCCTGTTGGCTGAAGTGACCATGGGGAGCCTGAGGGGGTGCTGAGACACACAGGCAGGGTTGGGTTCTGAGAGGCAGGACTGAGTCTCTGAGGGAGTCCCAGGCAGCACCAGAGGGAGGTGTTGTATGGACAAGAGCAATCTAGCTTATGCAGAGGCCGTGGATGCTTCTGGAGCTGAAGATGTGGAGATGAAACAGCTTCTTTCCTTTGACTGGAATGTTTCCACTCTCTGCCTGTGGCCCTCCTCATCCTTGCCTGGGGCCGATGCTGCCATCAGCCTGGTGTTCTCAGTCATCAAGGGGGTACTGGAAGTGTGTGGGGCTGCGTTATTTGGCTTTGTTTTGTGACAGTCACCAGAGAGCATTACTGCATTTACTGAGAGAGAACCAGAATGCTGAGCATTCAGCAATGTGCAAGGATAGCTCAACATGAAAAAGAATGGCTCCACCCACACGCCAGTAGGGTCTCTGATGAGAATCTACTGCCGGTTCTTGTTGTTCTTCTACTTTTCTTCCTCCTCTTCCTCCTTCTTCCTCCTTTCTCTTTCATATAAAATGTGCCTTCTTAACTATTTTTGTGTGTACAGCTCAGTAGTGTTAAGTACATTTGTACTGTCATACAATCAGTCTCCAGAACTCTTTTCATCTTGCAAAACTAAAACTCTGTACCCATCAAACAACTCCTCATTACCACACCCCCAGCCCCTGGCAACCACCATTCTGCTTTCTGTCTTTATAAATTTGGCTACTCTAAGTACCTCATATAAGTGGAATCATATAGTATTTGTCTATTTGTGACTGGCTCATTTCACTTAGCATAATGTCCTCAAGCTTCATTTATGTTGTAGCATATGTCAATTTCTTTCCTTTTTAAGGCTGAATAATACTCCACTGTATGTATTTACCACATTTTGCTCATTCCTTCATCCATTGATGGGCACTCGGTTACTTCCACATTTTAGCTATTATGAATAATGCTGCTATAAACATGGGTGTACATGTATCTCTTCAGGAGTCTGCTTTCAGTTCTTATGGGTGTAAATCCAGAAGTGGAACTGCTGAAGCATGTGGCAATTCTATTTTTGATTTTTTTTTTTGTTTGTTTTTGAGTTGGAGTCTCACTCTGTCACGCAGGCTGGAGTACAGTGACACACTCATGGTCTCTGCATCCTCGACCTGCTGGGCTCAGGCGATCCTTCTGCCTCAGCCTTTCAAGTAGCTGGAACTACAGGCATGTACCACCACGCCCAGCTAATTTTTTTATTATTATAGAGATGAAGTCTCACCAACTTGCCCAGGCTGGTCTCGAACCCGTGGGCTCAGGCAATCTTCTCACCTCAGCCTCCCAAAGTGCTGGGATTATAGGTGTGAGCCACTGTGTCCGTCCTATTTTTGATTTTTTTGAGGAACCACCATACTGCTCTGTATAGTGGCTGTGCCAGTTGACCTTCCCACCCACACTGCACAAGGGTTCCAATTTTTCTCCACATCCGTACCAACTCTTGTTATTTTCTGTTATTTTGATAGGAGCCATCCTAATGGGTATGGGGTGGTATCTCACTGTGGTTTTGTTTTTTGTTTTTTGTTTTTTGTTTTGAGTTGGAGTCTCACTCTGTCACTCAGGCTGGATGTAGTGCAGTGGCACACACAGCCACTCCAGAGTCGACCTGCGATCCTTCTACCTCAGCCTTCCAAGTAGCTGGGACTACAAGCGCGTGCTACCACACCCAGCTAATTTTTGATTTATTGTAGAGACAAGGTCTTGGCAAGTTGCCCGGGCTGGTCTCAAACTCACAGGCTCAGACAATCCACTCGCCTTGACCTCCCAAAGTGCTGGGACTACAGGCTGAGCCACTGAGCCTGACCTCTACTGTGGTTTTGATTTGCATTTCCCCAGTGATTATTGATGCTGAGCACCTTTCATGTGCTTATTGGCCGTTTGTATATCTTCACTGATGAAATTTCTATTCAGATGCTTCACCCATTTTCATTTTTTATTTACTTTAAAATTTTGATTTAATTTTTTAAAATTAACAGAAATATATTGACTCATGGCTCTGGAGGCTGGGAAGTCCATGATTGGTGGGTGGTGAGAGCCTTCTTGCGGTGTTAGCCCATGGCAGAAGGCCTTTCCCATTTTTAAAAATTAGGTTGTCAGGCTGGGCATGGTGGCTCATGCCTAAAATTCTGGCACTTTGGGAGGCCCAGGTGAGAGGAATGCTTGAGCCCACAGGTTTGAGACCAGCCTGGGCAACCTGGTGAGACCTCATCTCTACAATAAATCAAAAAATTGGCCAGGCATGGTGGCACGTACCTATAGTTCCAGCTACTTGGAAGGCTGAGGTGGAAGGATCGCCTGAGCCCAGCAGGTCAAGGCTGCAGTGACCATGAGCATTCCACTGCACTCCAACCTGGGTGACAGAGTGAAACTCCAACTCAAAAAAAAAAATTTGGTTGTCTTTTTATTAATTGAGTTGTAAGTTTCATCATATGTTTCATCATATATTCTAAATATAAGTTACTTATCGGATACGAGGGGGACCCAAAAAAAACCCAGAATTATTTTTTGGAGGGTAGACCCCTCATAGTACAGGCTTCCCCCACTAGGTAAGTGTTTTAAGAACCATCGGCATCAGTGTGCCAGCTAGCATTGTGAGAGGCTGTGTTTGACCTTAGTGAGGGGGAGGGATTCTTTCAACATGCCCATTTCGTGATGTGTGATCTACATGAATAACCTGCCCACAACCGCACCGAGTGTTCAGCAGTTTTTGACTAAAAACAGCATGACCTCCATGGCTCACCCTTCTATTCACCCTTCCAACTCGGCCTGAGTGATGTTTTTTTGTTTCCCCAGATTAAAAAAAGTCCTTAAAGGGGACATTTTGCCGATGTGAAAGAGATGAAACAAAAACCGGCAGAAGCACTAAAAGGCATTAAAATTGATGAGTTCAAAAACAGTTTTGAGCAGTGAAAAAAGCATCTTGATAGGTGTATTACATCAAATGGAGTGTACTTTGAAGGTGATGAAGTTTAAACATGTAAGAAGAAATACACTATGTTTTATAAATAAATTCTGGGTTTTTTGGGTTCCCCCATGTATATGATTTGCAAGTATCTTCTTCCATTCTGTAAATTGGCTTTTCAACTTTTTTTTTTTTTTTTTTGGTGTTGGAATCTCATTCTGTTGCCCAGGCTGCAGTGCAGTGGCACAGTCAAATCTCACCACAGCCTTGACCTCCTGGGCTCAGGCGATCCTTCCATCTTAGCCTCCCAAGTAGCTGGGACTACAGATGCATTGGGCTACCATGCCTGGCTAATTTTTAAAAAATCTTTGTGTGCCGGGCTCGGTGGCTCAGCCTGTAATCTCGCGCCTTTGGGAGGCTGAGG